ACACACACACACACACACACACACACACACACACACACACACACACACACACACACACACACACACACACACACACACACACACACACCAAGCTGTGACCACAAAGTTGATCCTTGCCAGTTCTACAGTTTATTCCTTGTCCTTATCCTTCAAGGAAAGAGGTAAGAAGACATCCCCCCAGAAATGTATTTTATACATTCTTTAAATTATTATTTTAAAGTCCAAAAACATTTAGATGTTATTAGTCATTCTGTGGAAGAATATATAATTTTATTTCAACATACTATATTCATGTTCTTCCTATTGGATATGTTCTTTTCTGATATATCTGTATGCTCATTTTGAGCCTTGTTTCTTCCCTGTAGAGATTTTTACTATTTATATTGAGTACCTCTTTATCCTTTTACAGCTACTGGGTATGTCACAACAAAGTTGTCTCATAATTCGCTTTGTCTGTCCCCCACAGATGAATTATTTAGATTATTTCCTCATGTTTGCTATTATAACTTACTCTGTAATGAGCATTCTTATATGTCTGTTGCTTTGCACCTATATGAGTGCATTAGTAGAATATATTTCTAGATAGTGAATTTCTGGGTGAGAAGATATGTAATGAGGATATATACAGAATAATAATGAACTGGTTAAATGGCTCCCAAAGCCATTTCTTTACCATCCAGTGTACAGAACACAGTGGAATTTTCAAGTTCTGCTAAGAGACTTAGTGCTGCAGGTCTCACATTTGCCAAAATAGTTCAGCTTACATTGAGTGTGTGTGTGTGTGTGTGTGTGTGTGTGTGTGTGTGTGTGTGTGTGTGTAAGAGAAAAAAGAGACAGAAATAGGGAACGACAAGAGAGATTGTTTATTGCTAAGAGAAACATGAGAATCAAACAGAGGAAACCATCACTGCTCCTTCTCATAATCCTCCAGAGAACGCATGACAGAGAAAACCAGATGGCCCTGCAGGGTCCAAGAAGATCCTTGATCATGAGGCATTGAGAGAATGCAGGGACTGGGTGAAAGGAGCTCCCAGAAGCAGCAATGGCAGCCAAGGTATAAGAAGACAAGATAGACAGCCCTCAAGGTTAGCTAGTGCTCCCGCAAGAGGTCAGCTCATCAGATGCAACTTTAGGAGTTGTGTGATTCACCCTATTCTAGTTCTAGGCATATAGCATGCCCTCAAGATGCTCATGCACAGAAGCCTAAAAATAGGCTTTTGTTATCTTTAAATAGTTGTACAGAGAAGTCGCCATTCAACAAGCAGTTCAAGAATACAGTGCGTCTTAATCAGTCCTTCCAGCGTTCACACCTAACCCTCACAACCCACCCTTCCCTCATGTCTCTTAATTTTTAAGTTTTGTATTAATATTTTTTGCCCTTTAACAAAGCAGGTTATGTAAATAATGCATCTTGACCTTCAACTGATCTTCACCTCTTCTTTGATCCACTCTTTCCTTATTTTTCTCAATTCTGTGGTATATCCAATGAATTCTTGCCTACATTCGACCCCCTTCATTCATCAAGCTCCTTGGTCTCACTTCCCGCCTCTTGCAAGTATCCATTTCCTGGTACCTATTTTTTGGAGGCTTTGACTTAGGCTTCCTAAACAATTATACTAGTTGAGCTCTCCCTAGAATCTTTTATACATCTGTTAATTCGTTTGTAACCACTTGCATACCTCCCAGTGTGTTTACTTGTACATGTATAGGTACATTCTAGCTACCACAAATGTGATCTGTGTTTCTCTGAGTCTGGCTTACTTCACTTAATACTATTTTCTCCAAGTCTTTTCATTAGCTTCAGCATGGTACAATCTCATTCTTTCTGGTAGATGAGTAGGATGCCATTGTATATGTATACCACACATGAGTTCTATGGTAGAAGCAGCAATAATGATGAAACTCACTAGGCATTTCCTAATAGCCAAGCAGTGGTCTCAGCATGACTTGTCATATCATCTGATTATACAAAACCCTGTGAGCATAAAATGACAGTCTCATTGTCCTGATGATGAAACCAAGACCAGGCCCAGGAAAGCTGAGGGATGGTCCAACACCATACAGTAAGTGGAAAATCTGGAATATAGATAGACACAGCTGTCTTACTTTGAAGGTACTGTTGAATACACCAAGGGCAAAGGTCTTCCTCATCAACACCCTATGGCTGGCTTTCTCTTCATAACACCTTACTGCCTCCCAGGTGTGTGGGTGGGGAAGGGGAAGTCTCTGAGGGAATATTGCCTGAGACAAGCTTTCTTTTTCTTTTTCTTTCTTTTTTTTTATCATGGGGCTTGAACTCAGGGCCTGGGAGCTGTCTCTGAGTTCTTTTGCTCAAAACTAGCACTCTACTACTGAAAGCCACAGCTCTACTTCTGGTTTTCTGGTGGTTCATTGAATATAAGAGTCTCAGGGACTTTCTTGCCCAGATTGGCTTTGAACTATGATCCTCAGATCTCAGCCTCCTGAGTAGCTAGGATTACTAGCGTGAGCCACCAGCGCCCAACTCTGAGACAAGCTTTGAAGGGTGAATGGAAACATAAAAGACATTCCAGACAGAGTTCCTCTTGGCCTTACCTCAAAGAGAGCCAGCTTCAGGTGTCAGGATGTTTCTCATTTATGGAAAGAAAAAACAAGTAGGATGTCTAAGAGAAATGCCTCTGCTGCCAGATTGCCTGCATTCAAATCCAGATTCTGCCTCTTATTAGCTGAATGACTTGGGGCACATCCTTAACCCCTCTGAGAAATGGGACTCATCAGCACTTACCTGTGGTTTGTTGGAAGGACTGGATGAATCTGTATGTAACTAAGGCATTAGAAAACTGCTTGGCACATGCCAGCCATGCTTTTCACACAGGAGATGAACCGGACACCAGGTACAACCGAGAAATAAGGAAGAAACAGAACGTGGAAACTTTTATGGGGTACTTATTATAGAGAACTATTACACATGCTCAGGAGATATAAAACAGTGTCATAAAAAGAGAAGGAAGCAAGGAAGCAGAAAAGCATTTAATGGAAGAAAGAGAGACAGGGGCACTTAGCTCTGGATCGTCACATCAAACAATACCTGTGCTTATCAGCTCCCGGTGATCATCTGAACGGAATTTTTATTTGTTGTCTATTTCTTTATGACATCTTTATTCAGCATTAAAAGGTAAAGGCCTGTTTCAAATAAGGTGAAAAGAGACAGAAAAGGATAAAATGAAAAGAACCAAATTCAATGTAATGCAGCCTATGAAATCCCGCTTTCTGTTGGGTGCCACAAAATATCTTTAGAAAAATTGAGAGAAAAGTGCGGCATAAATGCTGGGCTTCTTCATTGACTCACTCACACAGAATTTATCGCTCAGCTACCAACACACATTACTTTCCTCAGAGGCTCCTGGAGAAGGAAAAGTGGGGAAGAAAGCACTTCACTGAGGGACCTGTTTCTATGATGTATTTTTGTTTTCTAATTTTCTCTCTCTTTTGTCTGATATCCTAAACTCACATTCCCAACTCTGTTCCCAAACAGAACCCCAGACCTGGATTTCCCTTTCTCAAGACCAGTTCTAACTCTTCCACTTAGCATTTGGACAAACAGTTGAGAATCTATATTCTGGAAGCAGTTTTCCCAGTGCAAACTCTCAGAACCTCACGCACCTATGTACTGCTTACTCGCTAGATCCTTGGGCTATAGGGTTTAGGATTCAGCCTTTCACCCTGTGTCAGTCCCATTTTATGGGAGAGAAGAGGCATGAAAGATTGATTCAGCCCTTCTCTGACATAGAATTGTGTTTATTTCCTTCATGGTTTGTCTTCTCCACTAGACTAAGCTTCTCAAGGTTGAGGATTTCATCTGTTCTACTAGAGTGAGTGTCCTCCATGATCATCTGATGAAGAAAGGAAAAGAAATAAATGTTAACACCAAATCGTCAGAAAACTGATCTGCCTACAAGAGAAATAGCACAGAAGAGAGAGTCCTAATTTTGAGAGGGGCAGAAGTATAGTTGAGGGGTGGGAAGTAAATTACTAGGGAAGTGAGGTCAGAGCTGGATTTGGAGACAGTGGTGAATCAATGTTGATTTATATGCCTTTGCTTGGCTACCACCTTCAGGAGAAACAGTTCCTAAAGTAATGACACAGGATTGCTATTAGTCTTAAGCACACTTGTGGGAAGGGAAGAGCCTCATTCTGCTGGATCACATAGACCTAGTATCTCTGTTATCTGGAAAAGCGTCTCCTTAAGGTAGAAACAACGTCCAGAAAGGCCAGTGGGGTGTGTGTGTGTCTGTATGTCTATGTGTCTGTGTCTTTGTGTCTGTGTATGCCCTTGACAAGCTTGACAGACTGGCTGAGAGAAAGGAATCTTGCATGTATGCTTTCTAAAAATAAAAGGTCATCCAAGTGGCGCTGTAGCTCAAGTGGTAGAGCGCTCACCTTGAGCTAAAGAGCTGAGGGACAGCACTCAGGCCCAGAGTTCAAGCCCCATGACCAACAACAACAACAACAAAAAGGTTATCCAGAAAAGAATGTAGGCAAGCAAGGAAAAGAGTTGAAATATCAATCTCTTACCTTACCCATGAGTTAAGACCGACCTCCAAACTTCTGCATCGGCCACCCATGCCAATTCAATCTTAAAATTCCTTGGGAAACATATGATTATGACATAGGAGGGAGCAGAATAAAAGAAAAGAGGAGATGAACTCAGTATCGATTTTTAGTTGAATTTATTTAGTGACTTTGGTGACGAAAATAAAATATAAGACCTAGGCTTGCTATTAGTTTGTTTTAGGGTTAATTTCATTTAGGTCCAAGTCCTTCCTGACATAATAAGGTAAATGTTCAGAATTCTGAGGACAAAAACGACTTAGACTTGTGAGCTTCGTGTTCTGGTGTGAGCTCCGGGTTCTCTCATGAGGTTCCAGGGCAGCTCTACCTGAGCAGCACCAAATTCTAATGAACAGAATCTTTTACCTCAAGTAATCCTCAACTTGTCTTTTCAATGTGTGTGTGCACAGCTTCATCATACACAACAAAGACACTTTCTTCAACAACGCCACAAGAAGTAGAATTGTGCATCATATTTTACAAAGAATAAAGTATGAAGAAGGAAAAAACAAAATAGGTAAGTACTATATTAGTGTTACAAACTGCATTTGGTATTGAGGAATTACATTCTTCTCCTGTTTTTTTTCCAGTGTATAGCAATTATAGAAATACTTAGCCATTTATTTTTTTTAAAAAACTATACTTCCTGCACAGATAGTGCACAAATGTAAAATTTTTAGAGTCCTCCTTCAACATCTTTAAAGACTATACCACCCCATTTATAGAAGATCAGAGAGAAATTTTGTCAGTTCAGCAGATATTTATAGACCACCTAGTGTGTTCCAGACACTGAACAAGCACTTAGGTAGTAGAACACAATTCTCTCCTAGAACTTGTATTTAAGAAGGGGGAAAGTAAGTAAATAAACGACATGAAGAAGTTGAAACAGAGACTTGTAAAGCTAATCTGGATTAAGTACCAGTCAAGGAAAGATTCATTGAGAAGCTGGTAAAAAGTCAGTGTGGAAAGTTGGAGGGAGAGAGTACTCTAGGCAGAGGGGAGATGCCCATACCGAAAATGAGCTGTCATACATAAATCATTTCTACATGTACTCATCTTTCCCCGTAAATGTCCACCACAATTTATATTTTAGGCATTTTTCTGAGAATCTTTCTATATTACACTACCAAATTTCCTGCCTTTATTAAACAAGCTCTGCATCAGAATGCTTAGGTGCCTTTGTTATCTCTGTCCCAGCACAGTTAATTTTTTCAGTAAGGACCTGAATCAGCCAGGATCTAATGAAGAGTGAGTCACCCATAAGCTGAACAAGGAGAGTTTAAAATAAATAAATAGGGGATTGGAAGCAGCAGCAACTAGTTAAGGTTGGAAGTAGACCTCTGAATAGTAGAAGAAGAGTAGAAATTAGGAGGTGTTCCCAACAAAGCTGTGATCCAGACTGTTCCCAGGAGTTCTGCCAGAGGAGAGAGGTTTTCTGGGGACTTCTGTAGATCTTGCTTCCTGGAGTGATGCTCCCTGGATAGGTTCTGGGAAATTTACTCTTTGGGAGATTGAGTACCAGCAGCAGTTATCTGTCCCCACAGGGGACACCAGGAAAAAGGCTCCTTGGGAGCATCATGTCCTGATTCCCAGCAGCCATACTGTGGGATCTGGTTGCAGTAGAAGCGGGTACTAGAAAAGCCTGTTGAAAAAAGCACAATGGTATCCGGAAGAGAAATCCTCAACTCCACCAGTGTGCCTCCAGTGCCCTCAGTGCCCTTACAGAGTTTAACGGCATCTCATCTGACAATAGAAAATATTTACAAACTCCAGCTCTATTACTGCAAATCAGGCAATGAAGGTCCATCTTGAGCGACGAGCCACAAAATGATAACTGACACAGCTACATGGACTCTGGGTCAAGATTTCAGATGGGGTTAGGCAGGAAGGACCTATTCAAATGAGTTCATCATTGGAGTCAGGCCAGAAATCTCAGCCAAAACCAGCAGGACAACATTTAACAGTTTGTAAATGGATAATCCTACACTTAGATTCAGTAAAACAACTGCCCCAGTACAGTGTGGGAGAAATGTTGCTCAACAGCATAGTGAGAGGAACAGACTGGAGATTCAGACAGTAGAGCTGAATGCAAGCTCAGTATGAGTCACTAGCATAAAGAAGCTGCCAAAAAAAGAAGAAGAAAGAAAGAAAACACACAAAACTACTTTGATCCCAAGCTGAATAAAGTAAAATAGAGAGAAATAGATAGCTTACCTCATTCAGGTCTGATACATCTAGAATGTTCTATTGAGTTAGATGCAAGTGAGTTAGATGTAATCAAACCTACTACAGGTCTTTCTTAACTTGGATTGGTGATAGTTGAACTTATTCTATGTTCTCAGGAACAGTCCTCCATCTTTGAGATATACACTCTTCATAGAGTCTCTGTGACCATTCCAGCTCAGAAAAATTCACCCCTCTTCTGAATTTCTATGACACTTATTTTTGAAGTGTTTATTTCAGATTTGTATATATACAACTGTTTTTATTAACTTGGATTACTATCAATGACATTATATAAAGCTATCACCTACAGAAAACTGCTGTTATTTCCTAAATAATTCAACTATCAGCTCTTTTTAAAATGTTAATTCCTTATTCTGTGGTATGGTTTGTGAAAACAGGTTTGGGTTATGCTTTATATTACTTCTTTCTTTTTTCCTTCCTTCCTTCATCCTTTCCTTCGTTCCTTCCTTGCTTTCTCTCTTTCTCTCTTTATTTTTCTTCTAGTGCTAATACTGGGACTTGAACTCAGGACCTCTAACTCTTGCTTGGCTTTTGTGTTGAAGGCTGCACCTCTACCACTTGAGCCACATCTCCACTTCTGGCTTCTTTGCTGGTTAATGGGAGATAAGAGTCTCATGAACTTTTCTTCCTAGACTGGCTTCAAATCATGAACCTCAGATCTCAGCCTCCTGAGTAGCTTGGACTACAAGTGTGAGCCACCAGAGCTTGGCTTATCTATGCCTTTCAATCATACTTCTTTTCAGTTAACATTATATTATGGAAGTACTAGAAAATAGGTGAGAGAATGTGAAATTATGATTATAGTTTTCTCTGTTATTTCATTGAAAATGTAATTAATTCAAAAAAGCAGTGCCTTCACTGAGGTTAGTATGATCATTTATAGTGTACCTCATAACTTAAAACAGAGTGTATTGAGAATCTTGCTACCAGTCTAGATCATAAGTCCTTAGCTGATATCTGCCTTGTTCATCTTTGTAGCATCTTTGTCTGGCATAGTATCTAGCATACAGAAGGAGCCTAATAAATGCTTATTGAAAGTAATTGATCTTTTTGACACAGTTTGTGTCTCACTATCAGTATCCTTAAATAATCAGAAACTGCATACAGCAAGACCATCTAGCAATTGTTATAAAGAATATTTTTATCTTTAATTATGGGCTCTTTTACAACTAGTTAAGATTTAAGGGAAAGAAAAGGCACAGATAGTGAGTTTTGGGGGTTCTGAAGGAGACCTGAAAGTGTAGTTTTGGTGCTAGTCAGAACAAGTCTTTGTAAAAGATTCCCTCGAACGATGAATGGAGGATTCTACTCAAGGACTTCAGTGCCTTGAAAATTGGTAAGGCTGAAATGGAAAGTGTTTAATTAGAATAAACCAATCAATCAGAATAAATTATTAATTCAGGATCGTGCACTATGCAGAAACATCTGAAGTTAAACTACCACTGATCTTTAATCTACTGCTTTAATTGTCATCTTTGGTTTAATAAATTAAAAAGGAACATGTTAGCAGGAAATTTAACTTCTTGATAGAATTAATGTTTGTCCAGTGTTATTTTCTGCCTGGAACTCTTTCTTGAAATTATCACCATCCATGAGTCAGCATTGATTAGAAGTAACATAAAAATATTGATTTGTGGACTTGATTCATGCAGGCGTCTCGGTGGAGGATAAACTGCCACTATGTGTAAATTTTCAACTTCACTCTGAATTTATTACAACAGTGAGAATCAACCCTGGAAAAATCCTGGCGAAATTGCAATTATTAGCTCAATAAATGTATTTATTTAACTATATGTATGCCTACAATAAATCATTCAAGTTAGCCAGATGCCAGTGGCTCATGCCTGTTATCCTAGCTACTCAGGAGGCTGAGGTCTGAAGATCATGGTTCAGAGCCAGCCCGGGCAGGAAAGTCTGTGAGACTCTTATCTCCAATTAATCACCAGAAAATTGGAAGTGGTGCTGTGGCTCGAGTGGTAAAGCGCTCACCTTGAGTTGAAGAGCTGAGGGACAGCACCCAGGTCTAGAGTTCAAGCCCCACAACTGAAAACAAACAAAAAAAATCATTCAAGGTGAAGTTAGTAAAATGGCAGAGTTAAATATTAGCTATTTTTTCTCATTTTGTGAGACTTGGACAAATTTTTATGACAAATTTACAAACATTATCGTCAGAGTCTTTTATTGGGTCCTTGTGGATCTTATTTTTCTAGAATCTAGGATGTTTGAAAGTTCTTAATAAGTGAAATTCTCATCAGAGGTTTGGAGAAATCAGACCTTTCTGCATAATCAATAATGTTTTCATTCATTACACAGTCATTTATTAAGGGCTTTCTGTAGACAAAATATAAATCCCTACTGATACCTTCTTGGTTCATGTTAATGTGAATCAGCTTGACGTATCAATATGGGGCTCTGATGAAAACTGCGTAATAACTGGTTGACCTTTTACCAATAAAAGCTAGGTGTAAGGGCAGGTGCCATTTTCCAGGTCAGATAAACCATTGGTCCTGATCAGGACCTAAAGTATAGGTAGCATTTGACCTTGAAGCTACTTGAGAGATATCAACCGAATCATATCCTTTGAAGTTTATTTTAACAAGCAACAGAAATCTTGATCTGAAACCCATTAAACTTTCATTCTTAGCCAACGTGCAAGAACAGGCAAAGGATTTACTTTTCCACCTGAAACAACCCAAAAGGAAAGAAAAGATTAAAGTATATGAAATGACTATTTTAAAGACATTACTAAACAATGGGAAACCAAAAACAGCTATCCATAATAGACAAAAGGCTGCACAGACATAGAACCTTGAACATCTGAAGAGCTACTCCACTCCTACCCACCAGGTGTTCATGGAGTATCAATTGGGGCATACACGGCAAGAAATTACCTATGGCCAGAGAAAGAGCATCCAACCGGATTGCCTGTGAAAATAAAATAATTCGTTACTCGCCGATCAATGAGAAAGCGTCTGGTTTCATTGGTGAAAAATACCTGCTATTAGACTAAACAATTCCTGCCTAACACATGTGAAAACTAGAAAAAGATCACCCCTTTTCCAAGTAACTGAGCTATGTCTCAGAACAAAGCTCAAGAACATTTGTAAGAATTTCTGTTCCCCAAAAGAGAGAATGACAGTGCCTGACATCTAACCAGCTTATCAGACATGCAAATAAAAAGAAGAAGAAGTCAACAAGAACCTACCCATAGTTTACACAGATGGAAAAATTCACAGGCAATGATACTAAAACTGTTAAAAACTAAGGGTAGGGGCTGGGAAGGTAGCTCATTGGTAGAGTGCTTGCCTGGCATGCATGAGGTACTGAGTTCGATTCCTCAGCATCACATAAGCAAAAAACAAACAAAAAAACCTAATGGGTAAAAATTTACAAATTTGATGCAAACTGTAAACCTAGAGATCAATAAACTTAATAAACACAAAAGATAAGAAATATGAAGAAAACTATATACCTAGACAACCAAGATCAGCTTGTTTGAAACCCATAATAAGGAAGAAGAAAAATATTGAATGCAGTAAGAGAAGAAATACATGCTACATACAAAGGCACAAAAAAAATTAGATATAAACATGCTACATACAAAGGCACACAAAAAATTTAGATGTATCAATATATTTATTAAAATACGGGGCTGGGAAGGTGGCTCAGTGGTAGAGCACTTGCCTTGCATGCTCGAGGCCCTGGGTTCGATTCCTCAGCACCACATAAGCAAAAAGAAAAAAGTCAGAAGTGGCGCTGTGGCTTAAGTGGTAGAGCACTAGCCTTGAGCTGAAGAGCTGAGGGACAGCGCCCAGGCCCAGAGTTCAGGGCCCACGACCGGACCCCCCCCAAAAAAATAAAATAATACAAAATTAATATATTAACCAACTCATTACCAAAAAATGTCTACAAGGTACATGAAAAATCCTGAAAAAAATATGTAAGCATTCATATTATCTCATTCTCTTTAACAGTAACTATTTAAACCAAAATAATAAAATTACATTTTGAAGTTCACAGTGTATACAAAAGTATAAAAGCTGTGAGAGAAGAAAGAAGAATCCTAATGCAGTTTCTTAATAATAATAATAATAATAATATATAAATAAGCAAAATTACCATATGATTCTACAGTCCCACTTCTGGCTAATATCCAAATTAACCTCCATGTTCATTCAGCCAAGATAGAAACAATCCATGTGTCTACTGACAGGTGAATTGATGAAAAAATTGTGGTAAATATATGTACAATGGAATATTATTGTACATTATTCCATACAAGGAAGAAAACATCATTTATGATGACATGGATGAAGTTGGAGGACATCTGGTTAATTAAATGAGGCACACAAATACAAATACCACGTGATCTCACTTTAGTGTACTATCTAAGAAAGTCAAACTTTTAGAAAAGGCAGAGCACAGAATGGTGGCTGCCAGCGGGATGTGGGGGAAATGAGGAGATGAGGGTCAAAGGGCATATTTCATGACAAAATAAAAGTTATAAAATGCAAGTTTTAGGCATCTAATGTACAGCATGGGCATTGCTAGTTGTCAACTAATTTGATTATAGTAATCATGGCACAATAAATATGCTTATCAAACCACCACAGTATATACCTTAAATATAGTCCGTGTTTGACCATTCAGTATTTTAAAATTTAGAAATAAATCAAATTTTACAGCAATTGGCCCTCACTTCCTAGAGACAGTAAAGTGCTCTTTCTAAACTGTTGGTATCCCCAAGTAGGTTTGAATCATTTTTGAAAGTACTGTTCTTACATTGAGCATTGTAAAAAGGAAAGCTCAACGTTAACTCAAGTGGGTCTGCTTGTTGCCTTAGGTCTGAATCGCTTGCTTACCAATGGCTCCTATGAAGCTGCTTTTCCCCTTCACGAGGTATTGTGCCCTTCTTTTCTCCTTCCCTTTCTTGCAACTCCTTGTCACTGCAGTTGGTTTCTAGGCATAGTCACTCATTTAATTTGCTCATAGGACATTTGTCCAGGATGAATTTAATTTGTCCAGTGGGTAACACAGGGGGTCTACTTGCATTCTTCCATCCCTCTCCCAGTACCAGTTTATATATAGATCTCATTTTATATACTTGCAGAAATACTTAAGGAATGGCTCAGGGGCTTTGAGTCATGTAATTACAAAGGCACTGAAAAATAGGCACCAGACAAAGGGGACAAATGTTCATGAAATACATAATATATAATATATAACTTAAATGTATCACTTTTCCTGGAAAGATTGAGAGGAAGCCATTTAGCTAAAGCTCTGACAACCACAGGAGATAAATGAACATTCATGTAATTTTATATTATTTTATTCTTTTGTAATAGTGGGGCTTGAACTCTGGGCCTTGGGTGCTGTCCCTCAGCTCTTCAGCTCAAGGCTAACACTCTACCACTTGAGCCACAGTGCTACTTACAGTTTTCTGGTGGTTTATTGGAGATAAGAGTCTCATGGACTTTCCTACCTTGGCTGGCATTGAACTGTGATCCTCAGATCTCAGCATCCTGAGTAGCTAGGATTAAGGCATGAGCCGCAAGCAGCACCTGGCTTGTAATTTTTTTTAAAGGAAGAAAATGAATAGTCCTGTTCTCATCCTCCCAAGTTGTATAAACATTGATATTCTCCTTATTCATACTCATTATGATACAAATTACTTTTCTAGATTTAACTAGGATTACCCTTCACTTGCACATAGAACTTTGATTAACCAAGAATTCTATACTTTGGTTTTCAAGAGTATAATCTTCATGTTTATTGGGAAATTATTATCATTTTCATGACAAAAGCCCTGATTCTCAGCACCAAATGGCTAGTTTCCTCTATTAATAGTTGGCATTGCCTGGAGAAGGGATTTGGTGAGAACTGGGGGCTCATGCCCAGACCCAGCCCCTAGAAAAGACAAAGACCAAGAAGTGGCCAGTGGGCAGAAGCCCCTGTGCCAGCATGAAGGTATCTGAACAGTTGCTGCAACAAAACCCACAGAGTGACCCACAGACTTCCTCGAGCTTCTATGCCCTAAGGAAGCCCTATATTCTATGAGAAGAGTATCTCCAAAAGAGTAACAACAGCAGCAGTAATAATGTCTTTACTCCTTTAACTCTTTACTCTTAGTTTAATGTGATTGTATTATTTAGCCTCAAAACACCTTTCAGAGGTGGGAAGGACAACTGGTCTTGCCCTGGTTTCTGGTTAAAAATTCAAATAGAGGCTTAGAGATGGCTAAGACACACATTGAGTGCATGGCTGAGCTGTGACAAATCTGATTTTCCTTATGCCCAGTTCTGGGCTCTTTCCAGTAAGAACTTACTTCCTAGTGACCCTGAATAATTAGTTTGCCTCCAGTAGATGACTTTCCTGTGTGTGAGACTAGTATTTTCATGAACTCACTAACCATCTCCCAAATCCCTGGTCTTCTCAATTTTTTATTTATTTTGTGCCAGTATTGGAGCTTGAACTCAGGGCCTGCCACTGTGCCGTAGCTTTTTCACTCAAAGCACTCTACTCTTTGAGCAACATCTTCAATTTTGGCTTTTTGGTGGTTAATTGGAGATAAGAGTCTTACGGACTTACCTACCAGAGCTGGCTTCCAAGCTGTCCTCAAATCTCAGCCTCCTAAGTAGCTAGGATTACAGACATGAGCCACCAAAGCCCAGCTTCTCATTTGTTGAATGAGGAAGCTGAATTCAATGTTAACGATTAGGATTTCCAGGGAGCTTTCTCCTTTTACATTCTAGGATATCCATGTCCATAATGCCATGTGACAAAGACATTTTCCAACATCTCCCTGTCTTGAGAGGAATAGGGAAGAGAATTAACCAGTCTTGTGAATAGGCTTTAGACTCACCACTGTATCCATTCAAACCATAGAAGAAATCTAATAAGATAGTTTTATTAGTTCCCTGATAGATTAGACAAACAAGGCTCAGAATTTAGATTGTCCAAGATCATCTAGCTAAAAAGTAGCAGAACTGAATTTGAACTCAGTCTAACCTGCCTATTCTAGCAAGCAATTACTTTGTACTTAATGGCGTCATCAGCAAGATAATGATGTCTAGAAGAACTAAAATGATGATGGCTAGAAGATCCCTTTTGTCTCCTGTCACTCCATTTGTTACTTCTTCCATAAAAGCATGGAGTTTGCTCCTGATTTTGGTGGGTTTCACTCATGTACAGTGGTGTTCTCATTCCAGGGAAGTTACAGAAGTAAAAACTCCATTCGAACCCATGGAGCAGTAAATCACCGACATCTACTCTATGAATGCTGGGCTTCCTGGGGTGTGTGGTATAAATACCAGCCTTTGGATCTTGTAAGGTGAGTCTCTAACTAACTGTAAACATAAAGTTAGCACTGAATGATAAGCACCCACTGTCTCTCAGCTGGAACAAGCCGCATTGCCCTTGCTCTAATTTGGTATCTTCCAAGAGGAAGAGGTGAACTGACAGTCCCGTGATGAGGGTAATGCTTCCTTCAAAAGGGCCCTTGGAAGGAGCTGAAGAAGGGGCATGGGAGGTGGACCAGGCCTTCCTGTGACTCCATGAGGAACAGGGCACCTGTGTGCCTGTTAGGGACATACTGCCTGTACAGAAATAGCAGGGCTTGAAGATATTACTGACAAAATAGAACATAGTTTACTAAAGGTTGAGCATTCCTAATCCAAAAATCCAAAATCCTTCTCAGTCCTAAAATTTGAGGGCACTAATACGTTGTAACAAGTGAACAGTTCTATACCTGATCTCAAAGGACACGTGACAGTCAATAGTAACACACGCTAAAAATATGTAAACATATGTCAATATGTGTATATGAAACATAAATGACTTGAGTCTTGTCTTGACACTTCATTCTGTACATGTAAATAAATCACAAAATCAAAGGAAAACATCTGAAATTTTAAACAATCATTAGAGATACTCAGCCTATATTATGCAAATAGAACCTACAAGGTATTCCCAATCCAAGCCATTGCAGTCTTATTTTAATTTAAAATTAATAACATTTAAGGACTTTTTAAAAATGTGCATGTCAAAGTGTGTGTTGGCTTTTAATCTATGATAAAGGAACGGTGAAGAAGGGTTTTTTTTGTTAAATCTCCGATGTTTGTCCAACCTTCTGCTATAGCAGCATTATGTCCTGATATCTCATTATTTATTCACAGACTGGTTATTATGGTTGGCTTCATGGATCCCCATAAAAAAGAAAGTCATGTCTAATTTCCTACACTAGCTGGATATGTTTCACTTCTCCCTTGGTCTTAAAAGAAAATCAGCCCAAAGGAAGAAAGTAAAAGACAGCTTTCACTGAGTGCTGGTGACTCACACCTGTAATCCTAGCTACTTCGGAGGCTGAGATAGGAGGATTGAGTTTTGAATCCAGTCTAGGAAGGAAAGTTTTTGAAACTCTTATCTCCTGTTAACCACCAAAAATCCAGAAGTGGACTTGGGGCCCAAATGATAGAAAACAGCCTTGAGTGAAAGGGACAGTGGCCAAGTTCTGAGTTAAAGCCTCAGTACTGGCAAAAAGAAAAGAAAGAAAAATGAAGACAGCTCTCTTCCTATATTATCCTTCTGGGTAGTTCTTTCTGTCCAAGTCCTTGTTACAACAATTATGTATTCCCCATGTTCCAAAGACATTGATGAATTACATCCTGTTCTTTGTGTTGACAACAAACCATCTGAAAGCTATGAGTGAGTAGAAAATATTTTCTGAAATGAGGTCATCTTCCTTTGACCAGATTCAATGCATGATAAACAATGGGAAAGAAAGAATTCTCTTCCCAGCCTGAGTCCCATATTACAGGATTCCGTTGATTAGAAATTACAGATTGTTGCTGCAGGCAAACCATCTCTATCCACAATGTTTTGATTAAAACATTTGCAGTTAGTCAATGAGTATTAATGTATTGACCATTATATTTCAAGTACTATTAAGTATTGTCGGAAAAGGCAAAGGGGATGCTGTGGTCTCTAGAGTTGAAACAATTAGAAAAAAGTATCAGACTACGTGTAATGATGGGAAAGGTGTGAGGGTAAGGAAGGATGTTGTACAATTGGCAACAATTCACATACATGGGAAAGGATGGCGGTGGGTCCCAGCTGCCCTGTGAACCACTTTATAGAACTGAGCCTAGGAAGAACAGGATTTATGCAGCTAGAACGAAGAGACAAAAACACAGCCAAACTTGAGGAGAAGGAATTTGGGGACCATCTCAGAAAGCTATTTCATGTACCTCCTGTTCTGTTCTAATGTTCAAGGCTGTTGTGTTTCAAACAGGTGGCATTGAGAGAGAAGATCTCGCCTCTCTCAAATCTGACTACATCTCAGAATCTTCTATGTCAATCCTGCTGGCCTTTGCCAAGTTAACCTGGACCATGACTCATGCCCCATTCCTGCCCCTCCAATCCACTTGTTGTTCTCAGATCAAGTGTGTGTGTATAATTGAGTCCTCTTACAGAGAAGCTAATTCTATTTCTGATGTAGAGTTGTATGGGAAGAAATTGGGGTTCGGGGCTTATCCTTGGACATGTTTTCTTCTCTCGGTGTACCTGGTCTTATCTTTTACCAGAAAGGTCACTACAGAGCAGAATGGCTAAACTGTTATAATGCCTAACTTTATTCATTTATATTTTATTTTGGGCTTCGAAGCAGGGCTTCCCTTTGTACCCCAGGCTGGCCTCAAGCTCATGAGCCTCCTACTTCTTCCTCCCACGTGTCAGGATCACAGGCAAGCGCTACTGCATCCTGCTAATACCTAACTGTACATGCTGCCCTATTTCCAAGCTGTTGTGTCTCAAACAGGCGGTACTTCGGAGAGAAGATTGGGCTGTATTTTGCCTGGTTGGGCTGGTACACCGGCATGCTCTTCCCAGCTGCTTTCATAGGATTGTTCGTCTTTTTGTATGGAGTCACCACCCTAGATCACTGCCAAGTCAGGTATGGGGAAGTTCCTATGTGAGTCTACCTTTGTTTAATACTCAGAAATGGCTATTGTATGTACACTTCGATTTTCACTCCAACTACCTTCCCAATCTGATGGAAGTTTTTTTCATGCCCTGGGGCCTGAACTGAGGGCCTGGGCATTATCCCTGAGCCTTTCTGTGCTCAAGTCTAGTGCTCTACCACTTGAGCCACAGCACCACTTCCAGTTTTCTGGTGGTTAATTGGAAATGAAAGTCTCATAGGGCTGGCTTTGAATTGCAATCCTCAGATCTGAGCCTCCTGAGTAGCTAGGATTACAAGTGTGAGCCACTGGCGCCTGGCTCCTGATGTAAATATTCAAAGGGTCTAATTCCCTACCTGTGCTTTCTCCATCCACTGCCTTTGTGGCTGTGGTCTTCAGCTACCATGAAAGTGTTAAGTTACATTTACAGATGAACAGATGGCATTAGAACCATGGGAAAAAAATCAGTTCCATCCACTGGCTAAAAGTTATCTTTCTGCATTTTCACCTTTCTTAAAACTGACACCTGTAACCGCAAAATAACAGACAAGCAATCTTGTTTCATGAATTCTGTGCTTTGATAAGAAGTCTCTAAAGCCTAAAGCACTAAGTTTTAGTGCCCTTGGGATGGTTTTATATTAATGATGATTTTCTTTTTATCAGATTGGAGTTGAAGAAAATCGTAGAGATCATATTACAGAAATGGTGGGACAAAGCGTAAACTAATTCATCAGTGATACCCACTAGACACGATGTTGGAAATGAATGATACAAATTGGGGAGCAGAGGAGCTGGGAGGGAAAAAAACTGGGAAGAAAATGAGGAAATGAGCACATTCAAAAGAAATGTACTCAAAACCTGACTTACGTAACTGTGACTCCTCTGTACCTCGCTTTTACAATAAAAAAGAGAGATCATACTACAGCTAGACAATGACCCTTAATAATAAGTGTGCCCTTCTGTTAAATTTATGCTTATTATCTTTAAAGAGTTGTACAGAAGGGTTTTGATTCAATATGCTGATTTATGAGCACAATGCATCTTGATCAATATCAGCTCTTCCCTCGTTCTCCTCCCCCAATCACCCCCAACCCCACCCATCCCCTCAAATTACCAACTCCATTTGTGCATATATACTGTGAGTATTATGCCTGTATTCACTCACCATTGCGTTCTCTATTCATCTGTCTCCTGAATCTCCCTCACACAAAACAGGTTTCAGCTTCCTGGTAATCATTTTGTTAATTTTTTTTACAAATATGTCTTTTATAAGTGGTTGCAAAAATAATAGTCTGAGCTACAACATTATCTTGGTTTGTACTATAGAGACAGTTTCCTCTAAGAACAAAAATCCTTAGTTATTCCCTCCATTCTTAGGTTTCATTTATCATACCAGTGGAGATAGAGGCACACATTTTTAGGAATCTTGTTTGCATAATTCAGTATGAAATTGCATTAGACTTGTGAAATACTGTGAAAGATTTATGTATAATCTGAGGTGTAACTACTGATGTTTTGCTGCATATATTTTCCTGGGTGTAGCCTATTAAAATATAAAGCCATGGAACAAATTACCTAGCTCCATTTTTGCATTTATACGGTGAGTATTTTGACTGTATTCACTCACCATTGCTGTCTCTATTCATCTGTCCCCCTCTCCTGAACCTCCCTTACACAAAACAGGTTTATCAAGTTATTATAATGTACAGGCACTTATTTTTTTACATTAATAACAGAAAAGGCTAATAAGAGGCTTCCAGAGGCAAAATTTCACTCTATCAGATCTTATTTCTTGGTCGCATATTGTAGTGAAGTTTTAGAGGAGAATAATCATTTCATCAATAGTGATCTTTTCCTGCTCTCTCTTCCAGTAAAGAAGTCTGTCAAGCCACAGATATCATCATGTGCCCTGTGTGTGATAAATACTGTCCATTCATGAGGCTGTCAGACAGCTGCGTTTACGCCAAGGTAATTCTGGTGTTGTAGGTGGATTGAATTTCATCGAGATCTTCCTTAAGGACAAGGGGTAGACTCTGTGTTCTTTGTAATTTCCAGTGTTCATATGGAGCTAGGATGGATCTAGCTCCATTATTCAGTATTATTTTCTGTGGTGTTACTACAGTTTGAATTCAGGGTCTTGCACTTGCTCACGGCTGGTGCTCTTGCCACTTGAACTATACCTCTAGTCCTGGTTTTTTTTTTGGGTGTTTTTTTTTTTGCTGATTATTTGGAGTCTAACTTTTCTCCACAGTCTGACTTCAAACTGCCATCCTCTGACCTGAGTAGCTAGGATTCCAGGCATGAACTATATACTCCCAATTCTTTATTCAATATTTCAATGCAAATAAGTTGTAATGTACATGATTGAGAAAGCTTATGTCTCCCTACATGTGCTACATAGAGTGTTTGTTAGAGAAAAAGATGTTTGAAATTTTTTTGGTGCTCATTACGTAACTTATCACGATGGCCCATGAGGAAATAATATAGGTCTTCTATAATATTGCAAGTTCTGCATGTCCTGGTGAGTTACAGAAAAAGGGGAGGACAATGCAGCCCAGGAATCCTAATGCTGCCACTTCCTGTTTTCTAGTGGTTTATTGGAGATAAGAGTCTCACAGACTTTCCTGCCCGAGCTGGCTTTGAACCGTGATCCTCAGATCTCAACCTCCTGAGTAGCTACGATTATAGGCTTTAGCCACTAGCACCCAGCTGGAAAAACCATTTTAAAATCTACTTGTAGCAATGAAGCTATGATCCTATCTACTTGGAAGATAAGAGATTGAAAGATTCATGATTCAAGGACCAAGGCAGCATGGGCAAAAGCATAAGACCTTGTCTGAAAAATAACTAAAGCAAAAAGGGCTTGGAGTATAGCTCAGGCAATAGAGTATTTGCCTAGCAAGTCAAAGACCTTGAGTTCAAACCCCATTACGAGCAAACACAAACAGAATTGGTAAGTACCTTCCACTAGGGATTCATAGGGCTTCTGTTGTGTTTTGTTAGTGTCTGGAATCTATTATCTTGGTTTTCTGTGGTTGAATTTGACTAAGAGTACTATCAGTGTACCCTAGGAACTAGCATAATACAAAATAGGTAGGAGAAGTCCCTATTACCAAATTCAATCTTAACTCATACTTCAGAATTGATAGCTACCACAGAAAACCTTCTTTCCATGGAAATCTTGTTTCCACATCTGTGTCAAAGAAGTACTCTGATTGGTCCTATTTTAAGCTAGCGGCCTCTGAGAAGAGTGGAAAGATGATGTAGTAACAACTACAACCTGCTCCAGAACCTGCAGTAATGGTACAAAACTGCATCCTCCACAAACTGCCTAAAGAGGAAGCAAACAACCAACCACATGCCATCAGAACTTTCTGACTTATATGATGTCAAATGCCCAGTAAACAGCTTAACCTCTCTCTGGCATTTAAAACCAATAGGCTTTCGGTGTTTGCCTCTCATTCAGTGTTTGAATGGTGCCCATCTCTTCTGTGTTCACAGGAAGAGTAGACATAAGCTTTTAGAATAATCTGAAATACTTCATACTCTGGTATAACAGGAAAAAACCTATTTATACTTGGCACATTCTTGAATGGATAGTAAAATATATTTTATAGGGAACTAATAAAATACCCCAAAATGTTATGCTCTATCATTTCAATTTGGCATGGACATTGATGTGATTTACTCAGGAGGAGGAAATGAATATGACCAGTTTTGTGATAAGAACAGATATTTTTCACTCAGCTGTGGTGTTTGCAATAGAATATATTGTATTGTAGATAAAATACTGCTGTCTTTGTGTTGTGTGCAGTAAGTAAGCACACATAAGACTTTGTCTGAATAATAACTAAAGCAAAAAGGTAGGAGTGGATTTTGTTGATGATTCTGGTCTTTAATTTTCATACTGCTGAAACCTAGAAACTAGTTTAGGAGAAAAGATTTGTTTAAAACTATGCAAACCAAACAGCTGTTTATGAAACGAATAAATGAAGCGTTCAAAACAGTGCTTGAGCCAAGTGCCCCAAATCCTAGCTACTCAGGAGGCTGAGAACTGAGGATTGAAGTTCAAAGGCAAGCTTGGGAAGACAAAGCCAAGAGATTCTTATCTCTAATTAACCAGAATAAAGCTGGAAGTAGTGGTGTGGTTCAGGTGGTCAAATGCCAGCTTGAATGAAAAAGCCAAGCAAAAGCATGAGGCCCTGAGTTGGGAATTGGCAAAAGTAACAATTTACTGGTCCTAAAGCTAGCCATATCCTTATGCATACAAATGTGTAGTACACAGAAGAAAAGTCTTCCTTGTTACTCTCAGACTGCTGAGAAATATTTGACTGCATCAGGAGTGTTCTTTCTCCCATATCTTGTAAGTTAGAAGAACCCCCTTCTTACCTTTGGTCCCAGGAAAATATTCACTGAAGAACCCCTGCAAAACTCACTGTATTGTCCAGAGTACTTTTACAGAACTTGAAAAAATATCAATTAGAATATTGTACATGAGAAATTAGCCAAATTCCAATTCTGTGATTTCCAGGTAACACACCTTTTTGACAATGGAGCTACTGTCTTCTTTGCTGTGTTCATGGCTGTCTGGGGTAAGTGTTCCACAAATGTAAAACTTAAATCCTTTCCCTTCCTTGTGCTCTGTGGTAGGCTTCTTAAGAAATCTCACTTGGGATGCAAAAGAAGAAACTCAAGCAAATTCTGTTAGGTTTACTAATAGCAGAAAGCTGGTCACTTATGCAATATTGTGGAGGAGAAAGATGTCTGATGTCCTCTTCTCTTAAACATTCCAACAACTTTTCTAGTGCTTACGTAGAATAAAATTCATCTTCTGTTGGAGACCAAAATAAAGCTGATAATAGACCAAAAGGTCTGGAGAGAACTGAATGCCCTTCCTCTGTGAACATACTCTATTAGATGTAGTTATTAGATGTGTGAATTCTCATCTCTGGCTTTCCTCCAGATCAAAAGAAAATACTCTTTATAAACAAGAGCTATTCGCAGGGCTAAAGTGAGTCACTTGATTCCAGTTTAAACCACTAGCTCTATCTCACCAGGTGAGGTGGAAACTTTCAGATTTTTTAGAAGCAGTAGGACTTGGCAGAAATCTCAACTCCTTCGCTTACAAAACTATAATTTGAGACAGTGATATTTACATAGTCAAATGATTCTGAAGATTTAATTCAATGATACAAAAAAATCTAGACAAACCTGCAGTATGCACAGTTAATGACAGTTACCTTTGAAGACAAAGATTTATGGAAAAATAATTATTTTCCATTTGGTGTGATTTTTTATTATTATAGTTTTATCCCATAACTTGCAATGCTAAGATGTGAATGTTGGTGTTATAAAAATCCTACTCACCTTTAGGCTGAGGCTCATTTTGTTCCTTGTGTTTGAAATGTCATCATCTTCCTCCCCTTGCCAAGCCCAGCTGAAACCTCATCTGTTGTAGCCAGAAGAGTTCTTCCTTCTTTGAACTTCCACATCACTTAATGACATTTGGTTTAGGGGAATTTTTAATAATTACTTTCATACTCATCTCCTCTAGTAGTTTATAGTCCTCAAGAATCATCTAGTCGGGGCTGGGAAGGTGGCTCAGTGGTAGAGCGCTTGCCTTGCATGCATGAGGCCCTGGGTTTGATTCTTCAGCACCACATAAGCAAAAAGAAAAAAAGAAAAGAAAAAAGCTGGAAGTGGTGCTGTGGTTCAAGTGGTAGAGCGCTCACCTTGAGCTGAAGAGCTGAGGGACAGCGCCCAGGCCCAGAGTTCAGGCCCTACGACCAGAACCAAAAAAAAAAAAAAAAGAATCATCTAGTCATTGGAGTTTCATGCATTTAGTATTGGTTACAAAGACAGATGCACGCATGGATGGATGAATGATGGATGAAAAGACAAAAGGAGAAAGGAAAGGAAATCGCCATGAAGATTTGTTTGTAACACAATGGATGCACTTAAATTGTATTGGGTAGAGAGGGAGAATTCTGGGGGTTGAACTGAGTGTGCTTCCTAGGTAAGCATCCTACCACTTGAGCCATGCCTAGAGCCCTTAGATGACCTTTTATGATAAGTAGAAATATGAAAACCTTTTGAGGTGACTTGTTCTAGATGTACTTTATCTCCCCTATTTTAAGACCTATCAAAAGAAAATTATTCTTCCCCCCACAGCTCTGTTAAAGGCACAGGTTTTGAACCCTGTGACCCCATTCCCTTTCAGCCATGTGATTGGCATTTGATCCACAATCCATCAAACCACAGCTTGATGAGTGGCACAGGAATATTCTGAAGTTTTACCCAAACACGAAATGGTAGGGCCAGGCAGATTTTTATTCTTTCAGAATATGAACTGGGAAATATAAAGAGATGTAGAAGTTTGCAGCAGGAATCAACACTGGAAGATACATGGAGTGAAAGAGGGAATTGAAGAAGAAAGATTGAAATTCCAGAAAAAGGGACCAAGAACTAAGGACTATAAGAAGTTATGGGGAAGCTAAAGTTATTGAAAATCATAAACACAGAAGCAAATAACTAGTACAGAGATATAGATTAGAGGGTGCAGAAGCCAGTTGGAAGCTAACTGATAGATAGTATCAAGAATCCCTTGAACTGTGGGGTTTCAGACTGATTATCCAGACCAGACCTTGAAGTTTCTCCTTCTGCTGGCTTCTACATCTTATGTCTGTACAGGACCATTATTTACATCTATAGGATTTCTGCCTCCTTTAGGAGATTATGTGAAACTTTCACTATTGCACTTAATGTATCGGTGTCCCTAGCAAGAAAAAAGAAAAGAAAAGAGGGGGGTGAGATGAGTGCTAACCACAGCAGAGCTTTGGTTACAGAATTGAGCTTTCAGATCAACAATGCAATGTGTACCTTTCTTTTCTAGAGCATGTTCATATCAGTAACTGTGATGAAGAAACAGAAAAGGCTATATAGTGCTTAAACTCTGTTATTGTTACCAATGAGAGGACTTAGAAAAATAAGTTCATTTCCTAAATAATTTCCTGTCACAGCACATATAGAAAATGAAAACAATCATGGGCATAGAAGAGTGTGCTTGCTCGTGTCCCAGGATAAAATAGCCCTGGGATCCTTAGCCCAGTAGTACTAAGGTCTATGGGGAAATATTATCACTGGGACACCCATCTGCTGGCTCTTCCTAGACTACTAATCCACGGTGTCATCAGTTAAGTTTCTGTGTAGGGGGTAGCATCTTGGTGTTACTCAGGAATAATTACGTACTTGATTATTTCTCCAGTTTAGTTTAAGAAGTAGTTTGAGATAAGGATTATTATCCTCCTATTCATTTATCCCCAAGACTGTAACAAAGTAAAACTGGGGTTCAGCCATTAGTCTGCAAGGCAGAGTTGGTCATCGCTGCTCCAGTATCGCCATTGCATATCTTACCTGCGAATTGGAATGTCTTACACTGTGGATGACAAAGTAGATTTGTCTCCTTTGCCAACCTCTTCTGGTTGGGGGTGACGGCCAAGAGCATGAAGTTGACGAGCTTTTGAGGTTTCAAGTGGGTGGCCTGGAGCTTTGACAGCTCTGTCAAAGATAGATGTGATAGATGTTCTGGAATAAACTGTGGGCACATGGGGACATTTTAGGGCCACTGCAAGCAAAGAAGCCTGGAACAATTCACCTTCTGCATTGCTTTGTCTTGACTGACAACTTATGGCTTAAATCCTATATTGCTCTCAGAAATGTACTGGTAGGAGAAAAAGGATGATTTGACCCAGTTGTTTCTTTGCAGAAAGGGTTATGCTTTTTTGCAGAAATCTAAAATGACGAATGATGGGAACAGCTATACTTGTACCACACGTTTATTGAGAGCTTACCACACGCTAAACCCTGTCTATGCCTTGTGCAGGTTAAGCTTTTCAGTCAGCTCTCAGGAAAGTTCTGTCATTATCCTCACACAGTAGACAAGGAGGCAGAGGCACCAGCTAGAAATCAACAAAGTCAAAACAAGCAGTCTTAGCTTCTCTGTTCTACCACTAGGATGGGTCTCCATTGGAGTCTATTTGCTTCTTCTTTAGAAATCTGGATTTTCAGGTAAAGGAGCCTCCTCACTTCCACTGCTTGAAAATGGTGACATTCCAGAAACGCTAGTCACTTCTAATGCAGCTCAGTTTAATGGTCTGGGAGTCATCTCTTGTGATTGACAAGTCATAACATTTAAGAAAACAACTGTTCTCACTTTCCAGGAAAATGCTAGATACAGAAATGATGAGAGCAGCTGTAAGTGGTGTTACAAGACCTCCACAGGGACCAGGGAGATGTGATTGTTTTGGTTGTTCTAGTTTTGTATGTTCACTGTGAAAACAATAAGGTTCCATTTGGAAATGGTTTGTAGCAGCTGGGGAGGGCTTGTGTGCTGGCCTGCTGGCTTCCTCCATGTCTCACCATTTCATAAACACAGCTCCAGGGACCCTCAAGTTCTACAGTTAATCTAGGGTTCTGTGGATTTTTCCTGGGTGCTCATTTTTACTCAGAAGCATTCAAGGGACAGAATAATCTTGTACTAAATTGGCACCTCTTCTCTAGCTGGGGGAATAAGTCACAAGGGAACTAGATATTCACAGAGCCTTGTCAGGAAGCAGATTATCTCCCTCTGTTCTTTGTCTCTGGTCTCTCTCTCTCTCTCTCTTTTTCTCCTTCCTCCTCCTCCTCCTTTTCTTCTTCTTCTTCTTTCTTCTTTTTTCCTCTGTCTGTGTTTCATTTTCTGTGTTTCCAAACACTAAAGGACTCAGGAAACAAAGTAAGGTGCTCAGAGCTCTCCATTCACAATGCGAACACAGTATTGTTTCAATGAAAATTTGTACACCGCCATTAGTCATTGTTAAATGAATTATGCCTCATTTTAATTAAGTATAATAATTGGCCTTTTGTTTCGGCAGACCTATGCTACCTTTATCTTTTATAATAATATCTATATACCCAACAAAAGATGATTGCATATTCAAAAAAGTAATGGCATATAGTTACAGTGAATTCACAGATGATGCTTTGTTCATTTTTATAGCCTTTCATAAGGAAAATACTATCATCTAGGAGCTAGTAGCTCCTGCCTGTGACCCTAGCTACTCAGCTACTCAAGAGGATAAGATCTGAGGATCATGTTTCAAAGATAGCATGGGGAAAGTACATGAGGCTCTTTAACTCCAATTAGCCACCAAAAAGCCAAACGTGGAACTATGGCTCAGGTGGTTGAGTGCTAGCCTTAAGCAAAAAGGCTCAGTGACAGTACTCAGGCACAAAAAGAGAAAATACTATTCTAACTATTCTACTATTCCCATTTTTAGATGTGTTTATCATGTCTCAGAGAGGTCATGCAGCTTAACTAAGATTACTCAGAAATTGATGAGTGGTGTAGTCTGAATTTTAAACCAGGTCTTCTCTGCCTAATTCTTGAGAAATTCCAGTCTCTCTTACTGTGTACCTTCTATGGTGTATCTCAAATAGTATCTCTTCTCATAAGTCAGCAGGTATGTGTATACAAAACTAATGTAGTGTGGACTGGGAATGTAGCTTAGTGTGGTAGAGTGCTTGCCTAGCATGCACGAAGCCCTGGGTTCAA